TCGTACACCGACGCATTTATCATTTCTATTTTGCACCCGCGCAAAGCGGGCTTTTCCCTCCACATGCACGCCGGTAAACTAGGGAATGAACCTGCGCTCCCTGGGCGGGTCGGCGCAAAAAAGGAGGCGTGTTTCGGTGGAAACATTCTCTATTTTGCAATTCCAGAAAAAAACAAGTCTAAAGTCAAAGGCGCGTTGCGCGTACATTCAGATGCTATTTTAAGCGCACATTCTTGGCCATAATGAGTGTGAACAATGCGCATACACTGTAGATGAATCTCTCATCTACACAGATGCATTTTACTTTTTTCAAACGTTACATTATTATAAGGAAAACTATTAAAACACGAGGGAAATCATTGTTGTGTTCATTGCGATGGGGAAAAATAGGCATAAACCTTACACATTTACCCAAATTATCATGTGCATGTGAAAATTTGTCACTTCTCTTTCTTTTACGGCCCTGACGAGAACATCAATCTCATCGGCTGTGAACCGATGCTGAAGCGCGCCTGGTAAATGCGCCGTTAAAATAGAATTGCACCAAAGAACCAACCCTGAAAGAACAAGCGCACCTCGTTCATCATGCTCTTAAAGGGAATGTGATTTGATGCTCTTATTGGTTTGTTTCCTTTATGCCTAAACCACACCTATGAATAATGAAGTGACTTCAGACCAACCCCTTTTAGATTTGCGTTGAGCGTAAGAGTCATTTATCCCGCCGGTAAAATCGCAACAGCGCCCAAGACCCGCCCACAAAGTTACTTGCGCTTCGCATTTGATACTTGCGTTTCAGATTGTTAAAATAGAGTCAATAGAGACAGAATATAATTTTTTAAACATTAAAAACTATGTTAGTTGACCTGAACAACTAATTTCTTTAAGGTCGACCATCTGGGCCATTATTTGTGTTTACAAAGAGCTATTCTTAACAGCGTAATAAGCGATTACATTTTAATAAGAGATCATCGAATGCATATGTGGTTAGTGAGTCACTGGCCTGAATTTGGAGGCATAAAAACCTTTGAGAATCACTTCCCATAATATTTATCCTTCAGCACCACACTCTAAAAGATCTCCAGACCACACGGTAAATGCACCACAGATCTGATTTCTCAATCATCACTGGGGTGCTCTTGAAGCCGACTGTTTAGTATTAAGTATTAGTTTAGCAGGCAAACCTGTCTTTAGAGACCTAAATCTTTTTTTTTCCAATTCAAACGCAAACATGACCTGTTCTATCTATCACAAGAAGGATGGAGAAAAATATGAATAAAAACAATATTTCAAAAATGTGCTATATTGCAAAAAATAATTGTACATATCAGAAATCTGGAAAACACATGTCTCCGTTTATCTGGACGTACTTAAGCTACATTTCTTGTATATGGTAATAAAGTATAAACACAATAAAATGTTCACTCAACAGATCATTACTGCTGGAAAATGTGCCGTACTCTCAGAATAGAGTAATAGCTTAAATACTGTCACTGTAAAAAAAAAAAAAAAGAAAAGTAAAAGTTTTTTCTAAGAAAGCCTTGGCCTAGATTCGAATATTAGAGCAGTTTCGAACTTTGGCAGCTTCAGGAGAGATTTGAAGATATGTTATAAGGCGTATGTAGTTAAGCTAGGACATATGATCGAGAGATTTAAAATGATCTAAGTTGAGGCTTCTATAGGAAGTTGCTTTATAGTGTTCAAAGTGGTTGCTCTAGTGTTGCTAGGTAATTGATAGGGCATTGCTAGGTGGTTGTCAGTGTGTTTTGGCTGGTTGCTATGGTGCTGTTATAGATAGAATAATAAATCTAAGATTAATCTTGGCCAGTGCTAGGGTGTTCTGAGTGGTTGCTAGGGTGTTGTTAGGTGTGAGATGGATATCGGGACTGACATTGAAAACAGAATTTTGTTTCATTTATTTCATATTATTAAGAAATTATGCATGGCTGAGCTGAATGGAAACGCTAAAATATTCCTCTTTACAGTGCAAGAGAAATTATGGATCATAAATGAAACAGCTGAGGAAAGATTTCGTTGTAATACATTGCATCATCCTCAGAAGTACTTTTGCAGCTCTCACAGAAAATAAAGTCTTATCCAGACGGTGAGGAAAACAAAAGGGATACCCATTCCCTTTATGATAGACAGATAGAGGTGAAGAGTTACAAAGCTTTCAATGCCCAATCCATGCACAAATATCCAAACCTCCCAATCTGTTAAGCAAAGATTCATAGATAGATAGACAGAAAGAGGCAGACAGACAGGGAGACAGATAGATAGCCTACCTGTCAACATTTGGGTACCAAAATACGGGAGACCTGGGATTTATTGTGGGTGCTGGATGGCAGAGGCAGGCAAAGTGATCATACATAGACTCATCTAAATTTAGAGCGAGAACACATTGAATCTTTAAAGATCTTTCACTGTCAGTGCCCATTCAAGGACATTGAACTCACTGCATGATTACTAAGTAGTTGACCAGAAAATTGTCATGTTCAAATTGTGTCCAGATGCCCTTGCATTATGGTGAACCAGATGAAATGGCTCTGCTTTGAGAATGTGCTGGGATGTACTTGAGAGAGAGAGAGAGAGAGAGAGAGAGAGAGAGAGAGAGAGAGAGAGAGAGAGAGAGAGAGAGAGAACAAAAATGAATAGTAGGGGCTTTTCTGATGCACTGATGCTCTCTGCAACATTGAGAATTGAACCTTTCTGTTAAAAGACATTCTCCAAGTTTCCACAATCTGTCACAAATGTATCTGACAGTTTGTGTTCACATTTAGTATTGCTTCAAAATCGATGTCTTTTATATTCAGCAGGGTATGTTTAATTGTGCAATACATTGCACAACAATATTAGATCCTTTTGCACATGCAGTCTATCACACTCATGATGTCCAGATTAATTTTTCATTCCTAAAATCAACTGGCAATTACACTGAGTTGATTCGGCTCCTTGGACGCTCTCCATTCGACGTGTACTGAACCTCCGTGGGGCCATCAGAGCCTCAGATGTGGTTGATAGTGGAAGGACATCTCTTGGTTTGACTAAAATCACAGCTGCACAACATGGGCCAGGAAATTCTCTATTAGCTTTTTAAAGCTTTCTGTGGGCCTGTGGAAAACGCACTATAATCTAATCTGCCCGTGTGGTTTTGTAAATGTAATTAAAGCAGCCACTGCATGAGGTCGGCGATCTAGATTCTGGAGGTCCAAAGCTCATCTGCTCGGCTAACCACAGGCCCAGTTGCTACAGACAGCAAAACAGCAAACAAATCAAGTAGTAATTATGACTGGCATGACCTTTAATTTACAGATTAATGAAAATATATTAAAAGAGGTATTTTGAAACCAATGTAAAAGCCTTTACACATAAATATATGGCTGGCAAAAAAACAAACAAAACACAAGCACTCTGAGCTGCCGGTTTGACAGAAAGGGAACGCTCACATCCTTGCGCTCAGGAGCAGAATTAGATATCATTCATACACTATCAGTAGTGCTGAGCCAAACACTCCCCTGACAGCCAACTCGCATGTGTTTTGTGGACCGAGGACAATTCTTCTTTTGTCCTCGTGCATGGACCTCCTTGCTCTGGCTCTTGTTTTAGAAAGCACTATATTTCGTGTCTTCTTTCTTGTTTAGCCTAGAAACAGTCTTCTTTAGAGATATTTGGTGATTAAAAATGCAAGTGCTTGTCCTTTAGCTGCAGACTTTGATTAGGTGGGACAATTTGTTTGTTTTTCAAATGAAGAGCTCTTCCAACTCACTCAACACAGATTGTGATGAAAGGAGAGAATAATCAAAGAGTGGTGGAGGTGGTAAAGATTGACAGGAGAGGGTACAGTAGTTTTTGTTTTTTTTTATCTCTTGCTGATGAAGTTTTCTCAAACAGATTCATTACTGTCAAGAAGATACAAATTGCTAGACAAATGTTTTGAAAGGAGGGACTCTTATATTGACATAAACACAAACTCATAAATCTCGGGTCAAAGCAAAGATCTATGGCATTTCATTTTACTGTTTTGATGGTCTGACTGCATATTCTGCGCAAAGATTATCATTTTAACATTAGTGTTGGCAATAAACTGGCAGCTTATTTAGTTACACTATGCATGCATATTGTGCCGCACTGGTTAAAGAACTCGATTGGTTACCAAAAGGTTGCAGGTTTGAGACTCATAAAGTCAATGAACCATAACAGTAACCCCAGGTTGTTCCAAAGGAATTGTCCCTGAAATAAGTGAGTCATTTTGGATAAACAGATGTCTGCTAAAATGACTTGTTTCCAAAGCATTCATTAAAAGGAGGGATGGGAAATGAGACATAACTGTTCGCAGTGTTAACCTACTTTGTTCTTTGGCTACAAAAGAAACCTTTAGTTCCAAATAAACAGACAATTTGTTGATTGAGTGATCTCTTAAAGTGATAGTTTAACCAAAAATTATGCCATCATTTACTCTCAAAGTTTTTCCAAACATGAAAAAAATTATTTTGTTGAATATGGGTAACCAAAAATTTGATGGGCTCCATTGATAGTATTTTTTCCCAAATTATGGAAGTCAATGAGGGCCATCAACTGTCTGGTTTCCAACATTATTCAAAATATCTTTTTTGTGTGTGTGTTTAGCAGAAGAAAGAAAATCATATAGGTTTGGAACAACTTGGTTGAGTTAATTATGACAATTTCCATTTTTGGTGAACTATCCCTTTAAAAAAGAAAGATTAGATAGATCCACATTAATTTTAAAGCTATACAGCCTACTTTAACCGTCATCAATTGAAATTATAGTTTATATTATTTTACATATTTACAAGTTAGTGCTATAACAGAGCAACATCTGAGAAACATGCCCACATTACGCGTTGATTCAGTGAGTTCACCTAAAAATATCGTATAGTCTATGCAGAGCAGGATCAAAGCCGGGGTCAGCACCTCCGTGAATCCCGCCCTACCGTTTAGCCCAAATAAACCGAAAGGAGGGGCTTGTCCGCGATAGAGAAGCGAAGGGTCCCGTGGTGAGCGCTGCAGAGCCGTGTAGTGTGTGTGTGTTTGTGTGTGTGTGTCAGGTTTCATTCTGAGAGAGACTCAGGCGCGCAGCAGTCAGAGAAACCCGTCAGATGGCACGAGCGAAGCACTCGGACTCCCACTAGAGCCGGACCTCACTGAACCAATATCTCCATGCACTTCAATGAGCAGCATGCCTCTGTTGAGGTCGTTTTGAAGATTGATATTTTCACGTGAAAAACGGTTTAATTCTTACCTGGAAGGAAAACTTTAATCAGTTTATTTGAACACGAACCGGTCAGCCTGATAAAGTGGTGGTGGATACATATCCAATTGACTGTATAAGCTACGTCTCACAGACATGGAGGACATGAAATCGCTGGTATCACCTCAGTCCAGTCAGGAGAGGACCTGCGTTCAGCATCCCTACCAAAAGCGCATTTTGACGAACTGGAAGGACGTGTGTGCTATCTGCGTGTGTTTGATCTCGTTTGGAGTTTGTGTGTTGTTTTACCTGAGGACGTCGGATCTGCAGTCCAGGGTGCTCAGTTTGGAAAAGGACCGAGATCCCCGTATCTCCAGTTGGATCTCTCTGGAACAGGTGGAGCCCGTCCTGTGGAGTCGACTGGATCAACTATTAGAGCAGGTGAGCGTGACTTTTATTCTTCAGATAACCTATTATTCTGCGGTTTTAATAATATCTAGTCATATTTTATACAAGTTACATTGTGAAAGATAGGATACGCATGTTGTCCCACCTTGTGTTGAGTGTTAACGGGAGTTAGAAGTGCGTTACTCAAAAAGTTTGAGTAGATAGAGAATTTATGGTTGAAAATGAGGAACACATGTCTGGAATTACATTCAGGTGTGTTAAAATATGAATGTAAAGAAACTGACGAGCAAAACTCTGTCTCCTCGTCCCCGTCTTATCGGTCCTCGTTGTTTACGAAGTTGGACAAAAGCGCATGTACATGGATCAAAATAATTATTTTTCTGTGCCGTTTTCTTGGGCTTTTGTTTATTTTTGACGAATAAGTAGTAAATAAAACATTGTTAATTCAAAAATAATTAGGCTTACTAATTTCTTTAAAAGCACTTTAAAAGCAAACAAACTCGATAATATGAATTAGCTTATTAGTTTATATTAATATTTCAAGCAATAAATGTCATTCAATGTCTCACATCACGAGTAGGAAATGATTAAATCCTGATAATTAAATTACATTTGTTAGGTGCTGCTTTCCAGATGCCAGATCAGACTCTTTTACATGGCTCACATTTTTTCACAGCCTATTTAGCATTGCTCCAGAACAAGTGTCTATAAATAACACAATAATACAGCCAAAATGTCCTTCTGCCATTTTGACACATCCATTAGTAGCTGTCTTAATAAAAGAACACTGATGTGATCCGGTAGCTGCACCTGTATTTTTCACATTTGAGCCAATCTGTTCAGTGATAAGTAAATCTGCTACTGTAAGCAGCAAACTATTATTTGCTGCATGCAAAACCTGCTGAACACATTGTGTCACCATACGGCCACCTGTTTTACTTCAACAATCAAGCAGTTAGTGCTCCCATCAGATTCAGCACTGGCTGAGCACACGTCGTCTGTAAGGATTGAGCTTGACGTGTTGAGGTGGAGGAAAGTGAGATATAGCCTATATATATATATATATATATATATATATATATATATATTTCAATGCATTGCCTGCGGCCGTGGTCATCACCTTGCTGCATTTAAAATATGTGCAGTGTTAAAAGAATCTTGGGTAGAATTTTGCTTGGGGAAAGGCTACCATCTCACTATCTGCGGTTGATAACGTAATAGAGTCTGCAGAGGATGATTCAGGTGAATATTTAGTGTCTTAATGAGACTAAGCAGACTGGTGTAGTAGACACAGCCAAGTGTGAGTCAATCTGAGGTTCAGTTTGAGTACAGTTGAGTCATTTACTGGTGAATCTCACTGAAATCTTTCAAGAAAATGTTAAAGAAAGAATTAGTTTAGCTTTTTCTTTTGCATATATAACAAGGAAGCATATTTTGCCACCCTATTTTAATCTGCGTAATGCAAAAAAAAATTATAAATAATGACAGTATTATTGTAATACGAATCTAATGAGAATTATTCTTCAGAATAATTTCAATTACAAAAAGTAAAATTCCCAGATGCATTACAGTACTGAGAGATTTGCTGGATAATGTGCTTAATTGCAATGAAAATAGGCTTATGAATAGGCTATAATAATAATTTAGTTCTGTTTAATACTGATGGGCCTTTGAAAGCATCTAAAATTTGTTAACTTTAAATCATGGGTGTTCTTTTATCAAGGGCAAATGTTTCTCATAGAGATGTTGACTACTGACATTTCAGCATCACCATCAAGTTGCATATATAAGTCTTCATTAAAGGTGAGAAACACATACATTTGAAGTGCCTGTTGAAGTTTAGAAAGGTGCTGATTTCACAATTTAGGACATGATGTCCTTCAGGGGTTTAATCAAGACCTGGTCAGCGGGAAAGTAGCGAAACAAGAGAGAAAGAGAATGAAAAAGAGTTAGGCCTCTGGGCACAAAGTCTGGAGGTCTTAGTAGTAATCAGACATTGGAATTGTAAAACATTTTGTCATCCTTTCAAAATAGATTGTTAAAACCAGATCAAATACTGGGCATCGAGTTACCATTAAAGCTTGGAGGCAGAGAATGTCCCCTCCCTCCCAACTCATCCCTGCAAACACTGGGGCATCAGCTGTCTCGGGTCATTACTGCAACCTTACCATTTACATCACGTCATCTTAAAGTCCCGTTGAAATCAAAAGTTTTAGGTTTTTAGTATGAATATTAACTCTATAAGCTAAAACAATGACAAAATTTGCATTAAGAAAATATAAGCATTCAAAACTTAGTATCTCACTTCCGCAATGATTTTGATATCACACTGCCCTTTAGCTTCTCATCAGATTTTCTGTCCAATCAAATGCTCTCTAGAATCTAAAGTGTCCCGCCCCCAACCTTATAAATAGATGCTGAAGCTGCAGCTAAAATCGGTCACTTGTTCACACATTTACTATTTTCTACATGGTGAAAGGCACACAGTGCACTATATAGGGCATGGGTAATGATTCAGTGTAAATATGCTTTCCATTGAGGCGAATGAAGTCTGGTTTCACGTTAGTATCACGTGAACCGCCGCAGCGCGAATACAGTCTGCTCCAGTCCAGAGACGGTAACATGAGAGTCGGCGCAGACCACAAAAACGTATCGGACCCGTTTGAATTCTGCACAGAATGCTGTATTTTAAAGTGATAATGGAGGCGATTAGGAGGAGAAACGGTTCGAGATTAGGAGCTCAACGGCTCTGGCCAAAATGTGACGCTATTGACTATTTAAAAAAGGGGAGGAGCTGTTCAATATGTCCCGCCCTGTCTTCCTGTTTCAGTGAAAATTACACATGACATTGAGTAATGCTTCGCAAACCATTTTACATCCATAATTTAATGCATTTTCAAGTCAAATGGTATTTAATGCGAAAAAATTTAGGACGGGACACAATTTTTACAATTGTTAATTGACTGGATTGTGAAAAGTGTGTATCGCATTCCAAAATGTTTTTGAAAAACATTAGGCTATTCGTGACATCAAAGTGGTTTCAGAGGTGAGCAAGTTGTTACTTTTTGATGAAAGATTACAAACCCCCAAAAATCTTTGAAATTGCATGCATAGATGAATCGTGTGCACAATAAGTCCAGAGAGATGGGTATTAAGAAAGTAAATGGGGTCATTGTTGATTTCATGTTGACTTAAAGAACACCTATTTGAGCATAAAGGAACACACCCTAGCAGAGTTAAATGCATCTGAAACTTCATGCGCGCTTCAAAGTGAAAGCTAAGTCTCTTTCTTTTGATCTTGTTCACTTTGCTTCCACTCAATGCAACTCTTCATGCTAACTTTTCATCACTGGTTATTGTTTTCTCAATGTCACGCTGCATTGTTGTTTATGAGAGCACTTAGCTATAAGTGAAACCAGGTCTCGCAAGCACTTTCCAATGGTTTGATGTAAAAACATTTTATTTTTTAAAAGAAACCTTTTATTTGGACATAACCTGAGAATGTGGCACTGGAAAATCATGAGTTAAAGCTCTGGGAAACTGGACATTGCTCCTGTGGAAAAGCTGTTTACGCACAGCACATGGTTCCTTCCAAATTGTAGTCCATTTTCCACAGCTTTCGTGCTTGCAGAAGTTCAGAACAAACGTCTGTTGGTTAACCTAGCTGTCACATGTACTGTATATTTTCATCTTAACATTCTTCAGGTTTTCCTTTTCTTCTTAACCTCCATTAGTTTATTTTCTGTTTTACAATATCTGTGGTGCTGCTGAGTTCAGTAGTGTGGAAAAACTGCTACAAAAGCTTGTAGTGTCTGAGAGCGGTCTGAGTAAAGACTTCTCCAGCTGGGAAGACGCTTTGCCAGTATCAACCAAATAAAGCCCTGGAACGATCGTGGATAATATAAACTGGGGCAAGAAAAATGTCCAAAAGCGGTCCCAGAATTATTTAGCTTGAGTGTTTCAATGTTAGATGGGGATGGCGTGACCTTTAGTACCACATTGTAGACGTTTGACAAGCTTTACAATTCGGTCATAAATGTAGCCGGTCGATGTGATTGTTCTACCATGCATAAAGTGGGTTTGTCTATTTTAGCTGAGGTTTTGTAAGTTTAGGATACAATGGAATAGTAGCTCTGTTTAATGTTACTCACTGTTCTCCAAATCCTGTTGATCTAAAGTTAATCGTTCACTTTGATACCACAATACACTAGGGCGTCCGTCTAAAATGTATGAATTGATTGGTTCCAGACGGTGACCTATGGACACATTCATGCTTAATCAAATAACTAATAACACTGCAGCACCTGCCAATGTGACGCTTCTAATAGAGCGAACGGCTCCAGAAGCTATGCAGAGAATATAGACATTATGCCTCTGATGATGGTTAAAGTGACAAATTTATATGTTTAGCTTTTGAGGTCCGTTCAAAAATATATTTTCAGAGCGTTTCTTTTGAATTTGATATGTAATATATATTTTTTTATGCATACCTTGATGAGAATAAGAGACTTCTGGCAAAACCATTTAAAAATTGTATTGACTTTTGTATATTTTTGTAACTCTAGTTTCACTCTTGCATGTGTGGGATATATTTCCTTGAAAATTGAAGACCGAAAACAACAAAATAACACCAACTGAACTAACCTTTGCATTATACCTTACCTATTACATGGTTTGTTTCTGCACAGCTGACTTTAATGTCCTGTCTGTCTATTTCCAGAAACTAGCTGCACGTCTACCGAAGATCCGGGCGGCTCGGGACGCACCTCACGGCTGCCTCTGTCCACCAGGTATGCCTGTTCACCCTATTCATCCCCAACACAACACACCTGGGACACTGTGCTCCACCTGTATGCATTTGAATGTGTGTTGCGGTTAAGCCTTTTGAGCTTCCCTTTTGCAAAAAAACCTTTTTCCTGAAGGTATGAAGGTTGCCCCGGCGTTAAATAGAGACGTGATCCCCGTCGAATAGGTCCCATTTTATATAAATGAGTGAAGAGTCTCATCTCCCCAACCCTTGTGCTGTCCACTTGTGCCCTCGGACTGGCATTGCTATTGTGACAGGTGCAGTCATATTTTCGTGTGCTGTTGGCAGTCATTGGCTTCACTTAGTGTTTGAGTGGTCGTGATGCAAGCCACAGTGTTGGGATGGCGTCATGTGGGCGTTCAGGGAACAGTCAGCAAGGTTCACAGCGTACCACTAACAAGTCACATCCATGTGTTTGACAGGACTAGCCTTGTTCAATATTGATCTTTTGTGACAATACAATTGTTTTGGTCAATTAACTACATCCCTGCTGAATAAAAGTATTATTATAATGAAAGTCTTACTATAATGGCTGTCTTAGAGTAATGGCTGCTGAAAAATCGGTTTTGCCATCAGATTACATTTTAAATATATTAAGAAAACAGTTTCTGCTACTTTAAGAATATTATTTTGTATCAAATAAAAGCATCCATAAGAGACTTGTTTCAACCACTTGAAATATCTCAATTATGAGCACAAATTAAAATGGCCTACTTGTCTGTCACACTGTTTTGTGTGTGTGTGTGTGAGAGAATTTACACATCTCTGAGAACCAGGCCAGATGGTACAGACATCTCAGTGTTAATGAGGCCAGTCAGTACTAGTCATTGTTGTGTTAACTGAGTGGGAAGTGACTTCAGACAGCGTAGTGAAACCAGTTTAAGATGGACATGTCGTGGACAGGCACTCTTGAGCCAGGTGTGGGGACCGTTTAACAGCAGGCACCCAGATGATGGTCGTGTTTGTTGTTGTTTGGTCTTTACTGCTGTGCCGTGGGAGAGTTTCTGATCTCGCAATACAGACTGCGCTTTTACTTCATTTCAACCATTTGATGAAAACCAGGCAAACGATCAGCATCTTTTTTTTTCTTTTTTTGTTTAGCTGAAAGCTGAAGTGACTGCTGATATAGTGCAGTGATAGCACAGTTTGTACATTGTGCATGCTTTTTTTAATAATGCATGTGTATAAATAATATGTGTATGTAAAGAAGTGTCCACATATATGTGGTTCTCCATGTCGCCAGCTGCTGCGTGTCAATCACTCCAGCACGCAGTGTTCAGATGGCTTCCATTCCATTGTTTATTTTGAGTGCTCAGCAGTGGGCAATAGTCTGTGACTCCTTCATCAAGCGCACAGACTCTTATGTATGTATGTATGTATGTATGTATGTGTATAGCATTGATGTCATGTTTGAGCTGGAGAAGAGGCATGATAACTTTACTATTGGCAAATGTATAATTGTTTCAATTGTTTGCATAGTTTGCGCCACCTCTCCCAAGTTCATAAAGAATGCAATGTGTTTGTCATGTGCAGTTCAGCCCAAGGACAGTGTATTGTTATTTTTGGCTCGGCGTGTTTAAGTGAAGATGATGTGTGGTGTGACTATCTATAAGACTAGCTACCTCTGGTGGTTTTATTCATTCTCTCTCTTCTCTGAACTGTGATTACCTTTTGCCCCACTACTACAATCTCAAAACACCTCGCATATGGGCTTGGGGAATGTTTCAACACATCCAAATGAGTTTATTTTTTCTGGTTTTGCCAATCCCAGGGGGCTGCAGAGGTTAAATTCACTCAGCTCGTGTTTAAAAACCCATTTGGCCCATTCGCATTCACTCGGAAATCCTCCAATGTTTGTTTTTATTAAAGTCAGAGTCAGTCCATACACACAACTGTTTACCCTCCAGCTCTGCACATTTCAGCACTGAAGCGGTAACAGTGCCCACGTTTCTTACTCTAAAAAGAGAAGTATTTAACTTCTCAGTGTCATCTACATTGTAGGGAGGAACTAGCCTGTGAATTATAGTTGCATAATATTGGAAAAAAATGGAAATTGTTATATTTTGTTTTTCTGTGAAATACAAAGTTCTGTCATGAAACTTTAGATGGCGCAGGCAATCACATCATTATCCATAGGGCACAGCTGATTGGTTCCTGCTTTATCAGTAGCCAATGAGCTCGCTTCTCAACCTTCAAAGACTTGGACAGCATTTGCTGTAGTATTTGCAGCGTGCTTTCAGAAACGCTCCACCTGTATCTGCTACAGGTATTTCATGTGTGCTATTTTACAGCAGCCAAACATATCTTTATTGTCATATGCATCACCATGCCAAACACTCAGTGTTCATGACAGGAATATATTGCAACATGAAACATGCAGGACTTTTCACCAGATGATTTGAATAGCTATATATTTGGAAAGATTTAATCATTCTAGGATGGTTGGAGTGATTTTGAAGTGAATATGCATAGAAGAAAAAAAGATAAATAAATAAATAAAACAGTTTAACTCCATCCATCTTTTAATTTGGGAAAAACATCTGCCTTCACACCTGGGTCTAGAATCAACTCAAGTTTTTAAAAGAATATTTCCACTTAGCTCACATTTACACAGGTTTTAACCTGTTTAATATGACTATAAAATCATTTGGCAGTCACCATGGCAGTTTCAGAGTATAATAAATCGGTCAAGTGCGGCACAGTTCTTTTACACACTTGCAGCTTGTGATGCAGTGTTTCAGCAGCTACGTTCAAAGTAAATGAGTCAAGTTGCTCTGAAACTCTGAAACAAACACAGGATCATGAGCTGCACTCATGCAAAATGAACAGTGTCATCCGCCACACATATAGTCATTTAAGCAAATCACAGCTTTTGCGATTTGAAAGTTCATATCGCAATATCAATTTTATTTGTAGACATTGTGTAGCCGGTGGGTACTCCAAAAAGGGATACTCCACTTTTTTTGGAAATAGGATCATTTTACAACTCCTCAGAGTTAAATAGTTGGGTTTTACTATTTTCGAATCCATTCAGCCGATTTTCTGATATTTAGAAGAATATCAGTAACCAGACAGTTTCTGGTCCCATTGACTTCGATTGTATATATTTTTTTCTACTATGGAAGTCATTGGGACCAGAAACTGTCTGGTTACTGATATTCTTCTAAATATCAGAAAATTGGCTGAATGTATTTAAAAATGGTAAAACTCAACTGTTTAACTCTGAGGGAGTTGTAAAATGAGCCTATTTCCAAAAAAAGTGGAGTATCCCTTTAACTATATACTTCTCCTGAGCATGCCCATATTATACTCATATGAAACATTGCTTTAAGAATGAATGGTCTAATGTAATATTTTTCAATAATTTTAAAGTTTGATATTTTTATGAGAATCATAGACAGATGCCAACATGTCAGATTATGTGACATCCTCATTCTTAAAAAATCCACGCATGGTAAAAGCAAATATGATCCAGATCACATTTAATACGGGTTCACTTGATAAACGTGATTTTTGCTGACCACAACACGCTGTGTGTGTGTGGTGATTTATTAGCTGCCAAGAGCATGAAACCATTAAAAGAGACATTTAGAAACCAAACACTCAAACAAACCAGTCAAAATTACCATAATACTTTAATAAATATTTAAATACATTTCAATGTTTGATTTTGTTTACTTTTGTACAATAAACAGTTTATTTATTTTTTATTTAGTCGCCGCATTAAGATCTGCTGGTTTATAAGTGTTTTAGGTCAATTTGAATTGTGCGTGTTGCTTAGCTGTGCCCCTTTGAACAGATGTGTATATATAAACATCATTATTAAAAAATGACATCTGCGGCTTATCATAGATGTGTGGATGTGTGACAGTTCTGTTAACAGTGACTGATGCATTGTCGCTATTTAGTCATCGGAGAAAACAAGAACGTGGTATGTATACATAAAGACAATGATTTATGGCTCTAAATTTTTTTTTTTGGACTGGTGTGTTTATCCGCCCTGGTATGGAAGAGTCACAATGACCTAAAAAACCAAATGCACGCCGCTCAAGGTGTGAATGAATTGTGTAGACAATTGTGGCATGCTGATGGATATGATGCTCTTTGTTCTAGCAGAGATTTGTAAAAATGATGCCAGAGGCGCTTACTGCCAACAGCTTTGTCAGTGTACAGGAAAACTCCCATGACAGTTAGATTGAATCCAGGCCCAAGCGTCCAGAACACTCTTGAATCCACACATTGTTTCCCGAGAAGCTGAATGGCACTTTCTTGGATGTAGTAGTAGGAAACCGAGAAAAAGAAAGAGCATGCCGCCCTCTTGGCTTCCATGCATCACACACCCACAATGCTCTTATTTCGGAAAAACCAAAGACCCGATTCCCCAAAGGATTTAGTGTCTTTGTGACTGGATTCCGATCCGCAGGCCAGCATTGGTGGCATTAGTTGTGTCACCAGAGGTCGTAAGGGATTGAGTAAGAGCGCTATCTTTAAATGTGTGCATCACGGACACAGGTTTGACTGCTTGTCTGTTGGATTGTTGTGGCTGCCATGAAGAGCGGGATGAGGGGGATGCTGATCTGAGGGGATTAATCACGAGTACAACAGGAAGGGTGAGAGGCTTCTAAAGCCTCGAGCTTCACTGCAGGAAGTGGCATTTGACAGTTTACCTGGATGCAGTGTGTAGAGAAGCCATATCTAGTGTGTGTAATCCGAGCTTGACTCCGGGAACTTTATGTATGACATATTTAACATCCTCGTCATCCCTAAAAGTACAACACAGCCAAGAGGAAATGTGTATTGCTCATAGGTTAATTGAGTTCTCGGTTACACTTCAATTATGTATCATCTCAAATGTTTTCCTGAATATGACTCAATAGAATTAAAAATACACATATTAGGCAACTGTCGACAAACAGCAAGAGTAAATTCTATTGTAGTATAGCTCTGGGTGAAATTGATGAGAAATATTTGAGACTTTTGATT